TGTGCCTCTGTAAAGGCCTGAGGGGGCAGCAAGCAGATCTGGGTCAAGGATGGAGGTACCAGCAACCCTCTCCTTCCAGAGATAACCCCTCAGCCCTCACCTCAGGAACGGCTGTCCTGGGGAATTTCATCCAGGATGGGAGAACTGGTCAGGCCACTGAGTGCAAATAGTTTCAGAGAGGTGGGGCTCTTGAGGCCCCTTCCGGGAGATGACACAGGTATGTCCTTTGAAGAGCATAAATGGCCATGCCACATTAGTTACCCTGCTGGTTCACAGGGCCGTTGGCCTTGCCCTCTGCTCTGGACACATGGGGCCCTCTCTCTCAAAGAGAAAGGACAGTCAGGAAGGAGAAAGAGAAGATGTGGAAGGAATCCCTGACCTGGGGACGGGTATATGCCCCAGAGGCGGAGGCCTGCACATTCTGGCTGGAGCCTGGACAAGACAGAAGAGCACCTTTTATGGGGGCTGTGCTGGGTCAAAAGCAGTTCTCTGGGCCCCAGTGTGTAAATAGCTGGTGATGGGCTGGGAGCAGAGGCCCCTTGAAACCAGTCAGTGCCTGGAGAACCCGGCAACGCTCTTCACCCAATCCAGCCACACCGGGGCGACACACTGGGCAACAGCCCCACCTGGTGGACGATCACGGACTACAATGGGCCAGGGAGTATGGGAGAGCAAAGAATGACAAGAAGAGGAAAGCAGGGGAAAAATCATAGCAGGGGTTTACAGGCAAAGGGGCTTTGAGGTCGTCTTGCTGGCAGAGGCCCCTCTTACAGCATGCGCTCTAAGCCCCATGTGTTAGAAAGTTCTATGTTTTTTGAAAATCTGCCTCCACCAGTCCTGCTAACCCCCTACTTCAAGGCTTGCTAGGGCAACCTTTTAAATATTTGCATACAGCTACAGTATCCCTCCTAAATCTTCCCCTTTGGTGCAGCCTTCCAGAGTTTGACCTGACCTCTCACCTCCTGCATCTTTTTTTTTTTTTTTTTTTTTTGGAACTTCTTCTTTTTTTTTTTTTTTTTTTTTGAGACGGATTCTCACTCTGTCACCCAGGCTGGAGCGCAATGGTGCGATGTTGGCTTACTGCAAACTCTGCCTCCCGGGTTCAAGCGATTCTTGTGCCTCAGCCTCCTGAGTAGCTGTGATTACAGGCGCATGCCACCACGCCCAGTTTTTTGTTGTTGTTGTTGTTTTGTATTTTTAGTAGAGATGGGGGTTTCACCATGTTGGTCAGGCTGGCCTCGAACTCCTGACCTCGTGATCCGCCCGCCTTGGCCTCCCAAAGTGCTGGGATTACAGGCATGAGCCACCATCCCCAGTGGTTATCCTTTCTTAAATACATTAACTTCCAAGGAATCACTTCCAATTCTATCCCTCTCCCATACCAGCAGCAGCATTTAAAAAATCCCTTTATATTTCAGCCTCCCTGTCTCAGTGTTTGATATACTAGGAAAGTCAATGCTCAGATTGAGAGTTAATTCATGAGTAAAAAGCCTAGACTTTGAAATCAGATAGAACCTTGTTCAAGTCCAGGCTCTGCCACTTACTAGCTAAATCACTTTGAGCAAGTTTGCCTTTCTGAGCCTCAGTTTCCTATCCGCAAATTGGAGATAGAGGTGTTTACTACCTAGAGTTGTGGTGAATAAATATTAAATAAGACAGTACAGGTAAAACACCTAAGGACAGCTCCTGCAACACCATTCAGCTCCTAAGGGGCAATTACAGCCACATTCCTCTGAGTTTAAAGGTTGTAGGGAATGCTCTGGGGAAGAGAAAAGTGAAGGGGCCAAAGAAGGAGAAGAGACTTTCTGGAATTAGCCTTTCTCAACCAGCAGATGGGTAACTTGTTCCAAACCCATTTCTAGCAGTGTCTGTTGCCACCCCTAGGAAGGGGCAGGCCTTGACAGCTCTTTGAAACTTGAGGATTTAAAATTTAAATGTCTTTGAGGGCAAGATAAACACACCTACTGCTCAGCAGGGAAAGGGAAACTTGGCAGGGGCCCCAGAACTTTCCCCACCCCCAGCCCTCCCTAAACTTCCTCTTGTGGTTTTTCAAGAGTACAACCTGTTCTCCACAGCCAAGCCAGTGTCTGGGGCAGGGGGCCAGGGCGTGCCAAGCGCTCCGCTGCACCCCACCCTACCAGCGAGCGAGGGAGGAAGGTGCATGCGTGGGAGAAGAGCAGCATGGAGGTTTATCATTCTTAAGGTTCACATCCTGCTTACCCGTTTTCTCAGTGCAGCCACCCTCTACCCAGTTCCCACCCTTGACTCCCAGCATCAATACCCCTGTCCCAACACACACTCCTTTCTCAAAGACAGATGCACGAAGTGTAGGCAGAAAGAGACCACCTCAAGGCCTCCCCAGACCTGTGGGGAAGATCCTTGTAAGAAATTTAAAAGCGTTTCAGAAAGAAGGTGGAAAAGGGGCTGGAATCCATGGAAACTGTCCTGTGCCCTTGCTTGCATCACCAGCATTATCCCAGCCTGTCTGGAGGGACTGGGTAGGATACACGGATGCAGCTTTGGAAGCAGGAGCTGTGGGAAAGAGAGGTGTGAGCATCTTAAGCTTGCACCCACTCCTTAGCCATCTTCCTTACTCAGCTACCAAGCTGGAATGCATATCTAGAATGTGAGCATCTCTGCTATTCTTAATTCCCAACAAAAGAGGTGTCTTGGTTTCCCACGTCCCCAGATTCTGGCACATCACGTCTAAGTTGAGAAGTTCTTTCTTGAATATAATCTTAGTTCATTCCTCTTGGTTTATTCACATTCTCCCTTTCCCTTTGAGTGAGGCTTACACAGGGGAAAACATTCATACATTTGTGTGCACGCACGCACACACACACACACACAGCCATCAGGAAAGGATACCAGTTCTGTGCAGTTCCCACAACCCTATTCCAGGCCTGCTGGGCTCACTGTAAACAGTACCAGCTCCACGGCTCAGCTAACAGATGGCTGTATCATTCAAGATACAGGACCACAGACTCCCTTTAGGAAACTCCTAAGTTCCTGGCTCAAGTGCACATTTTATGTGGTCAGTGAAGGAGGCAGGCTAGCCTAATGGTTAAGAATAAAGCCTCCCAGCTGGGCGTGGTAGCTCATGCCTGTAATCCCAGCACTTTGGGAGGCCGAGGCGGGTGGATCACGAGGTCAGGAGATCGAGACCATCCTGGCTAACACGGTGAAACCCTGTCTCTACTAAAAATACAAAAAATTAGCCGGGCATGGTGGTGGGCGCTTGTAGTCCCAGCTACTCAGGAGGCTGAGGCAGGAGAATGGCATGAACCCAGGAGGCAGAGCTTGCAGTGAGCCGAGATCGCACCACTGCACTCCAGCCTGGGCGACAGAGCGAGACTCCGTCTCAAAAAATAAATAAATAAATAAATAAAGCCTCCCAAATCAAGTGACCTGGGTTTAAATCCCAGCTCTGCCATTTGTTTCTTGTGTCTGAAGGAAGATTACTTATCTCCAGTGCCTGTGTTTCCTCGTCTATAAAATGGAGAGAATCCTAATGCCTACCTCGTAGGACTCTATTAGGAGGTTTAAATGAGATATGATCTCTAAGTCACTTAGAAGAGTACCTGACAGTGTTATGTAACTGTTAGCTAGTATTCTGAGCCCTTGAGGGAAGAGGGAAGGGGAAGTCGTAAGGAGAAGACGCTTGGGACCACGGAGGTCATGATCTCAATGACTGGTATAGACTAGGACTCTGCTAGAATTATCAGAGAAGCTTTCAGTGTTAAGTTCCAGGCGGAAGAAACTGTGATTTGATTACCATGACATCCCCAACAGCTGTGGGAATAGCCTGTGCAGATGGAGTATGGCCACAGCAAATGGGTGCTGAATGAATTAATAAATTGGTGTGTCAGTCATTTCCCAAAGGAGCCCCGGAATTGAACGGCCAGAAGAATCTGTGAGGAAGCAAAGGGAGATCCACTTCTCCATCCATGTCTGGTCCCAAAGAGAAATGAGGTGGTAGGCAGAGGGCAAGGACTCGTCAGAGGACACGGTCTCAGAGTCCAGGGATGGGGAGGGGGTGCCCAGGATTGTGTGGACTGTCACATCACCCCCAGGTGGACCCTCCCAGCTGCACCCAGCTAGGAATTTCTGGGTTCTTGGGACCCAGCCCAGAAAATTGCCTTTTCTGGGACTCATCCTGTTCATCCCCTTGATGCTTAGACAGTGGATTAAAGGGAGCGGGAATTGTTTCCGGGTTGCCCCTATATTCCAGTGTCCAACACCACAGCTGGGATTCAATCCAGCTCTGTGGAATAAGTGCCCCCAAAGACTTCTATACTTTTCATCCTTCTGAATCGAACTCAAATGTCCTTTTCTCTCTAAAGCCTTCCCAGTCACCCCAGCCAGTGCACTTGACATCTATGTCTGTTCTGTGATCCATATTAGCTGTGGATAAATAACATCATTGCACCCTCAGCATTCCATATAATGCCAGGCACATAGTGGGTGTTCAACCAATGCAAATGAATAACTTAATGCTCCCTTAATAACAGCAACCAATGTATTCAGTTATTCCTCTTGTTGACACTTCAAGAGACACAGAGGCGGCTAAGATCATCACCTATGTACCAATCAGACACCACTGAGGGGTTCCTCCCTCCAGTTTCACCCCGGTGCACTGGTCAGAGCACCCACAGACTCCCCATCCACACTGGTCTGCCCTCCTAGAGGCCTTCCACCCCATCTTTGAGGCACGAGAAGAGCAACAGCTCGGTAAAGCCACGGGGCTTCCAGATCAGCTGGAGGGGGTTGTGCCGATGTGTGTACATACAGACGGCTCAGGGCCTTTGGGGGTTTCTCTGCCCTTCAACTCCGTGCAGAACATCTCCCTCAGTGGGAAAGTTAGCCAAGCTTTGGGTGCCAACTGGGAAGTGATGATGCAGCGACCCCGTTGACCCACCCAGCGCCGATCCCCAACGCATGGTCTGACATGCCTGAGCTGACATCCCATCTACCCCGGTTTCTCCAGCCCCCAAGCCTACCTCCTCGGCAGGTGAGCTCCCCGGAGCACCAACTGGGGTCGCCGGCGCTCTCTCCCGCCGCCTCTGGTGCCTGCCTTTGGGGAGTTGGGGTGGTCGCAACCACCAGCCACGAGGAGGGGACTGCACCTCTCTCCCCGGCGTCCGAACAGAGCCAGTCTCCACCCCTGCAGGGGCGAAGTGTTTACAAAGTCCGCGCCGCGCCGCCGATCCCGAGCTGGGCAGGAAGTGGGGAAGAGGGGGCGGAGGAGACAAAGGGGCTGGTGCTCTGCTCAGCCAAGTTTCAGTCCCCGGCCCGACCCCTCCACCCCCTGCACATCCTCGGCGAGACCAGGAGGCTCATCCGGCGCCGCAAACCCCCGCCCGCAGCCCCCGCCCCACACGGCATAGGTGAGGGGGCGGGGCGCCACAGAGGCTCAGTGTGGGCGACCGGCCGGGGCGGCACGGGTTCCCAGACCGCTGCCTCCCGGCGTTCGCAACTCCTCCACGTGCTATCCAGGAAGTAAACAAAATCATGAGAAGCGATTTCTTTTTCTTTTTCTTGAGACGGAGTCTCCCTCTGTCGCCCAGGCTGGAGTGCAGTGGCACGATCTCGACTCACTGCAGCCTCCGCCTCCCGGATACAAGCGATTCTCCTGCCTCAGCCTCCGGAGTAGCTGGGACTACAGGCGCCCGCCAGCACGCCTGGCTAATTTTGTGTACTTTTAGTAGAGACAGGGTTTCACCATGTTGGTCAGGCTGGTCTCGAACTCCTGACCTCAGGTGATCCACCCGCCTCGGCTTCCCAAAGTGCTGGGATTACAGGCGTGAGCCACCGCGCCCGGCCAATTTCTTGACTCTTACTACATGTCAGGCACTATGACAGACCCTTTCTGTGTATCATCCCATCTTACCCCCAGTTTTACAGAAGAGGAAACTGAGACACACTGAGGATTAGGTCAAGTGCCCGAAGTACCACAGCTGGCTAGTGTTAGGATTCAAACCCAGAGTCTGCGTCCTGCCAGGCAACTGCAAATGGGGACGATTACGGTGCAGCCAGAGGGGCTGACAGGCCAGGTAGAAAACAACTGGCAGCCGCGGGCACCCCACGCCCTGGGAGTGAGGCGGCAAGGGACAAGTCTCCCGCCCCACCCAGACTTGCCTCGCAAATACTTGCGGGTTGAGGGCGCGAAGGCAGCAGGATGCAGCGACAGACTTGGACTAGGTAGTCCAGGCTCTACTCCAAGTGGGCCATTGACAGGCTGGGCGGCCCTCAGCACAAAATCACGAAGCTGGATGCTCCAGTGTTTCCCAACATTACCTGCTCAGGAGAATCATCTGGGGAGCTCCTTAATGAGAAAGATTCCCAAGTCCCTCTTCCACAGAGTGAAGTCACTGGGATTGGGCTGGGCCCAGCCAGGTGTTGCTAATAATCAGACAAGTTTGGAAAACCCTGCAAGTGTAGTTGACCTCCTGGGTCCTTCCAGGAGTGTGCTCTTTACAAGAACCGATTTTCATATTAAAATAGGTTTCTTTTAACTCAGTGAAACCCAGCGCGTTTTCCCGGTCCACAACCAAGCCACTGAAGGCCCCAGAACACTTCACTTTCAAAAGGTCACGTGAGGCGGGTGTGGTAGCTCAAGCCTGTAATCCCAGCACGTTGGGAGGCCGAGGCCGCGGACTGCTTGAGCCCAGGAGTTCGAGACCAGCCTGGCCAACATGGCGAAATTCGGTCTCTACTGAAAATACAAAAACTAGCGGGGCGTGGTGGTGCCCGCCTGTAATCCCAGCTACTCCGGAGGCTGAGGCGGGAGGATCGCTTGAGCCCGGGAGGTGGCGATCTCGCCATTGCACTCTAGCCTGGGAGACAGAGAAGATTCTGTTATCTTTAAAAAAAAAAAAAAAAAAAGTCACGTGAGCCGGGGTCACCGCAGGCGTCCCCCAACCGACTGGGCTTCGGAAAACCAAGGGGCGCACGCCGCCCCGCCCCGTCCCGCCCCGCGACTACAAGTCCCATCGCGCCCCGCGCTCGCGCACACTACGCCAGAGCAAGATGGCCGACGCGGCGGCCACAGCTGGGGCCGGCGGCTCTGGAACGGTAAGGGCAAGAAGCGCGGACCTGGAGCCGAGAGAGTTTGGGTATCCTGCAACTTTCCCCTAGACTGAGCAACAAGCTAGGCCCCATAAATCCAGCCCCATCATGAGCTCCGACTGGCGGAGGGTCTTTTCAGGCCGTACGCGCCCCCTCCCTGGGACTTGGCTGCGGCCGCCGGAGTTGGCGGACCTGTGTCTTGATTGGCTCCTTTGCTGTTGGGGGTTGGGAACCCGGAACACCCCCTGATTGGTCCGAACATGCCATTTTCGCCTTCTTATTGGCCGGCCAAAGTTGAAAGGCATTCCCGTTTCAAAACATTTAGGTTTCTTACTTCTTCGTGCTGTTTTCTTTTGTCCTCCTCGCCGTCACCTCTTGTTACTGTTTTCATTTTCCCTTTCAATGAAATGGTGTGAAGATGGGGGGCACAAGAGAGGGATCCTATTTTTTCTGGGGGACAGGTCTTAATCCCATCATGCGTGTTTCTTCAGCTGTGTATTCTAATAATCTGCTAAAGTAGAAAGTAAAAGACCTGCTATTTTATCTCACTGGGACCGTACTTTTTAGGTGGGCGGAAAAGTAGTCTCTGTATTTAAAGCACCTTGGGTGCTCGTTTTTTACTCAGTTGGCCAAGATCTGTAAATCTAAACATTAAGCACTGATTTTTAAAATAAAAGTAGTAAAAGAACTTTGTTTGCCATTGACCACGTATGAACTATGTGATTGCATCCTTCTCCTGTGGATGAAAATCTTTCTGGGCTACTGCTTCACAGAGATCGGGAAGTAAACAGTCCACTAACCCTGCCGATAACTATCATCTGGCCCGGAGGAGAACCCTGCAGGTGGTTGTGAGCTCCTTGCTGACAGAGGCAGGGTTTGAGAGTGCTGAGAAAGCATCCGTGGAAACGCTGACAGAGATGCTGCAGAGCTGTGAGTACACAGAAACACTAGTCCTTGGAGTCAACCCCAACATCAGTTCAGTGCCCTGCTTTGTGATAGTGTTTGAGAGGATTTAAGAAAAAGATAAACTTTTTTCTTAAGAGGGGAGAAAAAAATTTTTTTTTAATGTAAAAAGTTGAGAAAAGAGCATAATGGGCTGAGCGCGGTGGCTCACGCCTGTAATCCCAGTACTTTGGGAGGCCAAGGTGGGTGAATCACCTGAAGTCAGGAGTTCAAGACGAAACCCCGTCTCTACTAAAAAACACCAAAAAAAATTAGCTGGGCGTGGTGGCTGGTGCCTGTAATCCCAGCTACTCGGGAGGCTGAAGCAGGAGAATTGCTTGAATCTGGGAGGCAGAGGTTACAGTAAACTGAGATCGCACCACTGCACTCCAGCCTGTGAGGCTCTGTCCCCAACAACAAAAACAGAAAAGAGCATAATGAAGTGACTTACGGGCTTTAGAATCAGATAGACTTGGGTGTACATCATCACTCTGTCACTTAATAGCTTGGGCAAGCCACTGAATCTCCTGAACCTCAATTTCCTCATTTGTGAAATGAGATAACAGTTTGTACCTCATGGAGTTGCGAATGTAAGTGAGATATATATATAAAACATTCAGTGCTGGGGAGATTATAAGCTCTTGGTGAGTTATGGGTGCCCTTAAGGACTTTTGTTGGGGAGTCAGGGCTAATTCCCCATGCAATAGATATCATCACATTATGTAATCAAATGCTAGATTGTGTGATACAAAGAATGAAGGGGAAAAGCCACTTTTTTTTTTTTTTGAGACAGAGTTTCACTCTGTTGCGCAGGCTGGGGTAGTGCGAGTTTCACAATGCAGCTCATCAGCCAGCTCGCGCCTCGGTTTCAAGCAATTCTCCTGCCACCTAGTCTTCAAGTAGGTGGAATCATAGCCAGGCGTACATCCTGGCTAATTTTTGCTATTTTTAAGTATGAGACAGGTTTCACCTGTGTGGCCAGGTGGTCTCAAACTGTTGACTCAGGTGATGCGCCGCACCTTCAAGTGTGCTGGGATTACAGGCGGAGCACCGCACCCAGCTGAAAAGCACTTTGTAAGAAGGAAATGTTGAGACTTTAGAAGCGCGCGGATGTGGTGCTCAAGAGGCCTTTTCTGCGTGTACAACATAGGTTGGCCTGTTTTGAGACTTTCGGGGGGGAGATAGGATGAGGGTGGAAGTGATTTATGGTGATGGGTTGCTTGAGGAGTCGGAGGCATAGTGACAAGAGGGAAGTGAGGAGAAGGTGTAGTCGTCTCTCTTTTCCTGCGCCTGGCGGGGGTGGTGTGGGTGAGGAGGGGAGTGAAACCTTTCGTTCTACTTCCTTTCAAATTGTGTTGATCCCTAAGGAAAGGCGGCGGAGAGGAAGGGTGGAGCGGTGCCGGAGCGAAAGGTTCGGAGAGAGCGGAAAGGTATGTGTACACGCGAGAGAGGGCGGTGAGACCACCATCCGGCTGGAGGGCAGGAGCGGAGGAGAGAGAAGTGGCTTTCAGCTGGGTTGCGGTGCTCAACGCTGTAATCGGGGAGAGAGGTGGCGGGAGGCAGCGTGGGACAGTTGAGCGAGCGCGGCCAGACAGGGTGAAAGGCGCGGTGGGCTCTAGAGGAGAGTAAAAGAAGGTAGCCAGGAGTTGGTAGTGCGGGATGGGGCTAGTACGGAGTTCGGTCTGCGTGTGCGGACGGGGCGAGCTTGCCTTTGAACCAGGAGGCGGAGGCTGTAGTGAGCTGAGAGTGAAACTGAGGGACCGCGGCCGTGGGCAAAGCAGAGAGAACTCTGTCTCTCTTGGAGAAAGAAAAGAGGGCTTGGTGGTGTCCGCGCTTCGTTCTTGTATCACACAAGTGCTAGAGATGTTTAATAATGTGATGGAGGGTCGATGCAGTGGAGGACACAAGAAAGTCCTTCCAGGCACGCCATAATCCATCCAAGAGCTTGAGTAATGGCGGGTGAGGGATGGGTGGTAGTCGGTTATGTACATGCGGGAAGAGGGTCGATGGAGAGAGGTTGAGTCGGTTGCACAATGAGGAATTGGGGTTCAGGGATGTGCAGTGCGTGTGGCAAGGAGTGGAGGAGG